AAATCGACAATTTTTCTTTTACACGATTTGGATAATTTCACTGTTACGCGCGGTATATATGAGAATTGTGTATTTAGGCAGCAATCCCTCGTTTATACAGGTTTTATTTAAAGACGACTGACAAAGTACTGCAATTAAGTTATTTTTTATAATTTTTCTTGTCTTCTTAAAAGTGTTTTCTTTTCTGGACACAAAGTGTGTAAAAACTGTCCAAATGTTCTGCATATTTAAGCACTTTCCACTATTCTTTTAGCCACTATCGTGGGTGATTTTTTATTTATTGTTAACTGAATATGTCGTTAAAACTGAAGGTATGGTGCAAAAAAGGAAACTAAAGAAGTAGTTTTAATTAATTTGTATTGTCGACAAGAACATTCCGCATAGAGTTTGGTAGGTCTCCGTGTGTATGAGACCTAATTGAGCTATAGACAGGGAGATGTAATGTGAGTCTTCGTGTTAAGCATGTTGTTGTATATCCAATATATGTATCTAAAGTTATGGGAATCTTTTATTATATTGTGTTCGTCTTTAATATTAATGAGTGTTGGCTTTTCCTTTTTTCATTGTTAAAGCTTCTATTATTTTAAACGTTTTTTTTTTACATGTTGATGAGGCTATTATACTTGTATTTTCTACGACTGTGTTTCGGATGGAGTTTGGTAGTTTTTTGTGTGTTTAAATGAGTCCTAATTGAGCTATGGTCCGATCAGTTTAACGCAAGACGTTTAAATTGGTATGTAATTGTATGACGAATGTAATTATTTATGGGTTTGGTTTGATCAGGAACGCAGTTCCTTAAGGGGCATTTGAACTCATAAATGATGTTTATTTTTTATACTTTTGATTTTGTGGGTGTGATGTTATTTTTGATGATAAGGTTATCTGTTTTAATTTTGAAAAAATAAATAATTTAATTTTCTTGTATAGGTCGACTGAGGTGGTGTATTTCTTTATGATATTTCAAAGAGAAAATTCGTTTTACGTATAGTTAAAATGTATTTGGCTTTTATAAAAGATATTGTTTTTATCTGTATGTTCAGTATTGCTAATAGTTACTTTAGAAAGAAATTGTCTAATCTGGTGGTCAATGAGGTAGTTAGGAAAACCATTGTTAACTAACGTCTGTTTTACATTACTGAGTTCTTTAAAGAAAAGGGGATGAGAGGATGAATTCTCCTGTGCACTGTTTAGGTAATTTTTTATAACTACTATTTTATATCTAAGTGGGCAGTCCCTCTTAAAATTATTTTATTATAGAAAAAATCCACAAATTCAGTTAAAAATAAAAATCGCCCTTGATAATGATTGAAAGAATAACCAAAAGTGCCTGGATATGAAGAACTTTTAGATTGTTTTACACATTTGTGTTCAGAAAAGACAACATTTTTATGAACTAAAGAAAAACTAAATAAAAGGGCTTAATCGCAGTACTTTGTTAGTCGTCTTTACGATACACACACACACACACACACACACACACACACACACACACACACACACACACATATAAATATATGTTATAATTATTATTTAAAGTTATTTATTCATCGCGACACAGAAATTAATGTTTTGAATCCAAAACTTAAATCTTAAATTCAAATTAAAATTTAATAATTTTGTTCCATTTTCAAGTGATGTTGAATAACTTTCGAAAAAATAAAGTTAATCAACATCGCTGGAAAATGGAACAAAAATTGAAATTTTAATTTTAATTTAAGATTCAGATTTTGGTTTCGAAACATGGTAATTTCTGTGTTGCAATGAATATATGTTTTTAAATAATAATTATAATATTATGCTCTAATGTATATCGAGCACTGTTTTTAAAAATAAATGCTAAAGAACTTTGGATTATCCATCTGATTTTACTTTATTTTTTTATTTTGATATATATATATATATATATATATATATATATATATATATATATATATATATAATTGGTATTTCGGCAGCAATCCCTCTTTTATACAAGTTTCATTAAAAACGACTGACAAGGTACTGCGTTTTAGATCTTGCTTTAATTTTTTTCTTGAGTCATAATTTTATTCATTTCCTGGAAATAAATTATGAAGAAATTGTCCGAATATTTTGTATGGCCGGGCGCTTTCGGCTATACTGCTAGCCATCATGAAGAATCATTTTATTTTTTATTTTTAATACTGATACTGATTGTTTTATGTGTGCATCTAGAGTTATAGGAAAGGAATGATTTACTTTCCAAACACGGTCAGCACATCGTGGCTTTGTTCACAGTCAATGTCATTGTTGTTGGCATTTTCTTTTTTAGTATTATTAATGCTTCCATTATTTTTAGTCTATTTTTTTACAAGTGGATGAGGCTATTATACACCCTTGTGAAAGTTAATTGAAACAAAACGAATAATTCTGTTATTATTTACTTTTTTCGTATTTTTCCATGGAAACATGATCCAGTGCACATATTAGTACTTTGTATGTCCATTCGATGAAGTCTTTTTTTTTTTGCAGATTGACCACAAATTCTTGATTGGATTTAAATCTGAAGTGTTTCCGGGCCAGTCTATAGTACTTTGATTTGCCCACTGGTAAGGCTTGCCATTGTGCTCGTGCAGCGTTACAATTTTCGTAGGTTACCTTGGAGGAACGTCCATCACAAAAAAATGGCTGCAGGACAACTAATCGACAGTCGAGACAATAGTGCCTGGGCGTAAAAAAATCTGATGCAATCACAGACGACGCAATATTTTTCAAGGCCAAACATATTTCATCACATACCCAGAAAAAGAGATTCATATTAATGCATACTACTGCATATGACCTAATCAGAAGAAAAATAGAAGTCGATTACACACTGTCACTCCAGTGTGTCTAAAACTGACGGCATAGTGAAAGAAAGAAACTAAAGCTGTTGTTTCAATTAATTTGCACAAGGGTGTATTTGTATTATCAATGATAATCTTCCGGATAGAGTTTGGTAGGTCTCCATGTGTATTTAAATGAGACCTAATTGAGCTATAGACAGAGAGATGTAATGTGAGTCTTCGTGCTAGGCATATTGTTGTATATCCAAAATACCGGACAAATAAACTCTATAATAATATTGGCTCCGTATAATTTGGATCTTGCAGGCGAGTTAGAATTATTGGCTAGCGGCTTGGATTGAGGAATCGGAGAGCCGAGTTCGAATTCCTGTCGAATCCATGACATCTTCAGCTATGGGTAAATATCAGGACAGACTTGGTTCTATAGCCTTGGATGGCAACTGGTCTAGGAGAAGGACAACTCTGAATTCAAAACCTGCGGAGGGTCGTTTGGGGACCCTGTGGCATGTAGTGCACCAGGTCTCTGTATTCGGCCCTTCAAAAAGTGTGGATGGTTCTGTACAAAACCCTCACTACAATAATCAAATCACATGTGCTGGCGACTGGCTGTCTGTTCCCAGGAACTTAGTCTGTTGAACCTCATATTCTTCTCCATTCAAAATAAGAGTTAAGCAGAGCAGACTGTTCGCTAGATTTGAATGGAGACCAGAATAGAATTGAATGATTAATTTGTTTTTTTTTCTTATCAACATTTTGCAGGTTATTTAAAGCCAGAAAATATGGTTATGCTGAAAAATGTTTAAGAGATAATAACGATTTACGGATACAAGTTCGACGTTTGCTTAACTTCGGTGATCGTATGAGAATCGTTGTTTCAACTTGATATGGGTAAATAGCAGGACAGTTCTATAGCCTTGTATGGCAACTGGTCTAGGAGAAGGACAACTCGGAATTCAAAATCTGCGGAGGGCCGTTTGGAGAACTTGCGTCATGTAGTGCAACAGGTCTCTGTATTCAGCCCTTCAAAAAGTGTGGTTGGTGCTGCACAAAGCCCTCACTACTATAATCAAATCAGATGGGCTGGGGTCTGGCTGTCGGTTCCTCAGAACTGACCTACTTGCCCCTCATACATAGAATACGACGGAAATTCCACCGTATATATATATATATATATATATATATATATATATATATATATATAATTTCTTCATATATTTTATATATGGTCGGTGCTTATAGGAAAACGCTCAATATCAGTGATAGAACTAACATATTTAGTTGAATGGATATAAATAAAATCACATCCATATACACATATATCTATCTATCTATCTATATATATATATATACATACATATCATTACCCATATATATATATATATATATATATATATATATATATATATATATATATATATATATTACTATATATATATATATATATATATATATATATATATATATCATTATATATATATATATATATATATTATATATATATATATATATATATATATATATATATATATATATATATCATTACCCATATATATATATATATATATAAATGTGCGTGCATTTATTTGGCTTGATGTGTATATATGTTTGCATGTGCATGTGTATGTGTGTGTTTCTAAGTATATGTGATTTATATGATATTTCCTCTTTATCTTTATTGGCAATAAAACTGGTGTGAGTAATTACATTGATTTTTCCTCCCGAAGATCCACACCGTACCCCTGGAACGAACTTGATCGTACCACCCACTGTGCTGTCAGTACCCACACTTATCTCGACCCCCGGCTTTCCCGCGCCCACTGTTCCTCGTCATCTTACTCGAGTGTGCCCCCCCTCTCGATAAATACAGTAAGTTAAAGCAATTGGCTTCTGAGCATCACTGGCAGGAAACGAACGAATAAATAGAGAAAAACAAAATAATTGCTATTGGCTTAATTAAATAATCATCGCAAACAGGAAGGAAAGAAAACAAAGAAGAAAAGAATTAAAAGAAGGGAAAAAAGACAAGAAGAAGATTACGTAAACAATAGGAAAAAGGAGGGCATTTTGAAGGAAAAAAGAGGAAGATGTTGGCCTAAATGAGAAGAAGAGGAAAAAGAAGGAAAAAAAAGAAAGAAGAAAAAGAAGAAAGGGATATAGAGAAGAAGAAGAAGTACAAGAAAAAGAAGAAGAAGAAGATCACAAAGGAAAGAAGAAGGAGAAGAAAAGTGAAAGAGGACGAAAGATATCAAGAGGGGAAGAAAAAGAAAAGGGGAAAAAGAAAAGGGAAAGAAGAAAAGAAAAAGAAAGAGATCTCGAAGGAAAGAAGACGAAGGAGAAGCAAAGTGAAAGAAGGAGAAAGAGATCTAGAGGGAAAAAAAGAATGAGAAGAAAAGAGGGAGAAGAAGAAAGAGGTCTAGAAGAAGAAGAAGAAGAAGAAGAAGGGGGGAGTAGAAGAAGTAGAAGAGGAGGAAAAGTGGATGAAGTAGAAAGTGTTCTAGAGGGAAAGAAGATGAAGAAGAAGAAGTAGAAGAAGAAGAAGAAGAAAAGAGAAAGAAAAAAGAGAAAAGAAAAAAGTGATCTAGAGGAAAAGAAGAAGAGGAAGAAAAAGGGAAGAAGAAAAAAGGAAAAGAAAAAGAGAAAGAAAAGAAGAAGAAGATCTCGAAGGAAAGAAAAGAAAAAGAAGAAAGTGATGTAGAGGGAAAGACGAAAAAAGCGAAAGAAAAAGAAAGGGATCTAGAGGAAAAGAAGAAGAAAAGAGCAAGTAGAAAAGGGGAAAGAAAAGAAGAAGAAAAAGAAGAAAAGTGAAAGAAGAACGCTATTTAGAAGGAAAAAAGAGGAAGAAAAGCGAAAGAAGAAAGTGATGTAGAGGGAAAGAAGAAGAAGTAGAACGGGGGTCTAGAAGGGAAAAGAAGAGGGTGAGACTGATGTAGTCCTGGGAAGAAAAACAAGAGAACAAAAAAGAAGGAAGAAAACGAGCCAGATGTGGCGTGTCAGGAAAGAAATTAAAATAAATGAATGAAAGAAAGTAAGAAGAAATATCCGAAAAAAATGAAAAAGGAAAGAAAAGGAGAAGAAAATGAAAGAGGTTAGACAAGGAGGGGAATGAAAACTTCGAAAGAGAAGGAAAATGAAAGAAATTAGAAAAGGAAGAAAAATGAAAGAGATTCGAAAAAGATGGAAAATGAAAGAAATTTGAAAAGGAAAGAGAATGAAAATCGTTAAAAAAAGAAGGAAAATGAAAGTATTTAGAAAAAGAAAGAAAACGTAGAAGGTTGAAAAGAAGAAAGAAAATGAAGAAGGTTGAAGAATTAAAAAGAAAATGAAGGAAGGTAAAATAAGGAGGTTGGAAAAATGAAAGAAAATGATGGAAATTATAAAAGAAAGAAAGTGAAGAAGGTTTAAAAAAGAAAGGAAACGAAAGAGGTTAAAAAAGAAGGATGCGAACAAAAGAAAGAAAATAAAGTAGGTTGAAAAAATGTAAGAAAACGAAGGAGGTTGAAAAAAATAAATGAAGGAGCTTGGAAAAAAGAATGAAATGAAGGAGGTTAAAAAAGAAAGTGAAGGAAGTTAAAGAAAAAGAAAGAAAATGAAGGAGGATAAAAAAGAAAGAAAATGAAGAAGGTTGAAAAATGAAAGAAAATGAAAACGTTTAGCAAAAGAATGAAAATGAAAGAGTTTGGAAAAGGGAGGAAATTGAACGTTTGTTAGAAAATGAATGAAAATGAAAGAGTTTGGAAAGAAATTGAACGTTTGTTAGAAAATGAATGAAAATGAAAGAGTTTGGAAAGAAATTGAACGTTTGTTAGAAAATGAATGAAAATGAAAGAGTTTGGAAAGAAATTGAACGTTTGTTAGAAAATGAATGAAAATGAAAGAGTTTGGAAAGAAATTGAACGTTTGTTAGAAAATGAATGAAAATTAAAGAGTTTGGAAAAGGGAGAATAATTGAAACTAGTTAGAAAAGGAAAGAAAATGAAATATTTTGGTAAGGGAGGAAATTGAAAAAGTTTGAACAATGGACGATAACGAAAGCCATTAAAAATGAAAGAAAAGGAAATTGTTTGGAAAAAGAAAGAAAATAGGGTAGGTAACAAAAAAAAAAAAAAAGGAAACAGACAGCATAAAGAAAGAAAATGGATCGAGAATATATTTGAAGGACAGACGAAGAAAATAAAATAAAAGAATCAAAGTTATCAAAATGTCACTCCAATCCATCAACCTCGTTTGCTTTTATTCAAATTACTTTGGGGAAATCAACAAAAACTCAATTATCAAAATTATTTATCCACGGCCTTTGGCTCATTTGTCTGAATTTCTGAGAAGTGCTATTATTATTATTATTATTATTATTATTATTATTACGAATAAATTGTTTGAACCCATTTCCTTGTCTTTGTTATCTTAACAACATTTAAGCAGCCATCAACTATCGGCATTCGCCTGTCCAGTGTTTTTGGTGCAAGATATGTTTGGTGTTAAACGTTGATTCTTTGGGACAAATTAGCCGACATTGTTGCCTGCAGCATTTTGGCCACTGTTATTCGCGGCTTTTGATCCGAATTTTCGAGACGAAACATTATAACAATATTATATAAACAACTAGCAGTAGAGCCCGGCGTTGCCCGGGGATGTAACAGTAAGAGATAGATCAAGTATCGACCATCATAAAGACTGAAAAATAAAATTGACAAAGATTATTGTTTAAGTTTGACGCATGTCTTAATTATTTTTTCTTTTTTACGAATTGGTCAAACCCAAACTCAAACAAAAACATAGTTTTCAATCGTTATGAGTCTACCGATTGAATAGAGTTTTATTATAAACATTTGTCTTGTAAATGGAATTTTTAAAACATTCTGAATGTAAAAATAAAGAAAAAAGTGTGCAAGACAATAAGAAACACTACCTGCCAAAAAAAAAAGTGAAGTTTTGTTGAAATCGGTTGAAAAATGTAGGAAATCCGATCCCATATATAAACGAACACAGACACACACACACAAACAACCTGGGTTTTATAATAAGTATAACTCGATATGAGTTGTCCCCCTTTCACTCTGGCGATAGTGATGACTCTTAATAGTGTTTTTAAATTGATTTCGTGCAAAAACAATTGTGTTTTTCCAATTTTTCGCGCTGTCAGAACCACCGGAAGGTAATTTTACGTAGTCCTGTGAAGTTTTGTTGAAATCGGTTGAAAAATGTAGGAAATCCGATCCAATATATAAACGAACAGACACACACACACGACCTGTGTTTTATAATAAGTATGATTGTAACAGTTCCGTCAAAGAAAAGGGAAGTGTAGAGGCGGTGCGAGTAATTTTTCCACGGTATTGCCGTGAAACCGACTTCAAACCTCGATCTTCTAACAATCGGTAGCGACTTTGACGCACTGAAAAATCCATCTTTACATTTATATTGAACACACACTCGTTGGGTCCTGTCACTGGATCTAACGAACGCCTTTATCCGCTGTGACATGTGTCATTGAGGACCTAAAGAGTGTGAGTTCAATACCCGGTTAAGGCAGTGGAGAACAGGCGATAACTGATAACTGACATCCACTAAGCATGGCACGTGTAACTAGATCAGTCTACCCCAGTGAGCGAAATAAAGGGTTCAGTTCGACATTCCAACCACCTGAAGAAGGCCGGAGCATACAACGGCCGAAACGTTATAATAAATATGGTGACAAAGATGAGGACAATAGTCCGAATAACGTAAATAATGTGAAAAATAACTTTTATGTTTTACTAAGTCAACTGAAAAGAATAAAATATTAAATTGGTTTACAAATTTTAACTAAGATTAGAATTATGATGCTCCATGTCCCTTCACGACGTAGGCAATAATGGCTCTCCACAATTTCCTGTCCTTAATAAATTTTAACATTTGTTTATTTAATCCTAATCTCTGTTCCGCCATCCATTTACTCAAGCTCGCTAGATGGGTTATGCGTTGTTTTCCACTTTCGCTCTTGCCTTCAATCTGTCCTGTGAGTATCAGATTTTCCAAGCCCTCTTTCCTCATTATGTCCCCTAAAAATTTCAACTGTCTCTTCCTCGTGTTAAATATGCTCTTTTTTTTAATTCTCTTTCGTCGTTCTTCACAAGTTCAGTCCATGGTATTCTCAGTATCCTTCTGTAGAACAACATTTCTATATCTGTCTATATTACTGGGATGAGGTATTGTAAATATTTACATTGTTCGGACAGTTATCCTCATCTTGCCATAGTCACGACGTTTCGGCCGTTATACGCCCCGGCCTCCTTCAGAATCTGTCCATATTTATCACATGAGGTATTGAAATTATTTGCACTATTTGCCTTGTACGCTCCGGCCTTCTTCAGGTGATTGGAATTTTCGACTCGATCCCTTTATTTCGCCCACTGATATTGCAATATGAGCAAGGGTTTAAAATTGATTTCTAAGACATTAGGTTTATAAGTCCCAGAAATTCAAGCACAGTTGTCCTTAAGGATACATGGCCCAGTGGATAAAAGCGTTGGTTAGATCAAGTAACTAGACTGAATGAGTTGTGAGTTCAATACCAGCCTGAATGAACCAAACATTTTCAGGGGATTGGAATTTTGAATTGGACCCTTTATTTTATCCACCGGGGGGATAGATTGTTCTAATTCCACGTACCATGCCTCTTCCTGTTGTCTCAGTTATCTCCCTTTAACTCAACTCTCTAAGATATTTATTCACCACTGCCGTAGCCAGGTATTGAACTCTTTGGATCAAGTCACTGGATCCAACCAACGCTTTTATCCACTGGGTCATTTATCCTTGAGGACATCTGTGTATGATGTTTTTTGACTTATAAACTTAATGTCTCAGTAAACAGTTTTTTTTTACCAGAGCTCACATTGCAATTTGTTTTTATTGCTTTTCTCTAGCACTACTGATTACTGGTTCCCATATTGTATTCATTTCTATGCTTGGTTGGCTCAGGAGATTTTTGTGTCCTAGCATATGTGCTCATTCCTTAAGTTTTCGTATTACAACATCGAGCAAAAGTCATAAGTAGCGACGACCCAGAGATCAAGAAATAGTCAGCAGTACCCTACAATGTAACAACTACCCTGGGTAGATAGCAGCAGCTCCGACAAACTGGGGTAGAAGGGTACAAGAGGATGACTACACACAAGAAACATCTTTGGTCTGTCTACCCTATTTGACGATATTATCGGAGAAAATACAAAAGATCTGTGATCTAGATAACATCAGGACGTCCTTCAAAAGTAGTTCGAGACTTCGCAGACACCTCTTCCGAGTACTCCCCCCCATACAGGGGGACATAACTAAGGACTGTGTGTACGCCATCCTGTGCAGCTGGGGTAAGAAATATAAAGGAGTAACAGGCTGCCTCCTTAAGGTAAAACTCCCATCATAAAGCCGTAACGAGAGGGGAAATAAAAAATCAGGTGTAGCTGACCACATATGGAGAAAAAAGGGAGACCACCGCAACCCTGGAAAATACGAAAAACTAAGGAATCAGTACATATGCTAGGCCACAAAAATCCGGTCAAGCATAGGAATTAATACAGTATGGGAACCAGTAATACGAGTGCTAGAGAAAAGCAATAATAACAGCATTATTGCAATATCAGCTCTTGTAAAAAATTATACTGAGGCATTAAGTTTATAAGATACAAGAATTCGTACACTGAAACATGGCACTGTGGATAAAATCGATGGCTGGATCCAGTGACTTGACCAAAAGAGTTTTGGGTTCAGTTTTGTGGCGTACAAAAACTTAGAGAGTTAAGTTAAAGGAAGATAACAAAGACATCCGGAAGAGGAATGGCACGTGAAACTAGAAAAATCAAAGTTTCTGTTCGAAATTCTAATCACCTGAAGACGTCGGGAGCGTACAACGGCCGAAACGTCATGAACGTGACAATAAAGTTGAGGGCAACAGTCCAAATAATGTAAACAGTATAATCTTTATTCCATTTTTTACACTCATATTTAAAAGAAATCCCTTAATATATCACTGAAGTAATTATAAGCATTCATTTTATCCCAAGTGATTACATATATCGTGACACGAAAGATATAAATAAATAAATACACAACGGTAATTATTATACAGTAATGATTATTTATGAAGATTTTCTCATTATTAAACGAACAGAACAGGAAAAGAAATAGAAATTGATAAAGTAATTAAAAAAATGAAGTGTATATATATATATATATATATATATATATATATATATATATATATATATAAATATATATTAAGAAATGGACAAAGTCCGACAATTTATTTATTAAAGACATTTTTATGTTTAACGTTCTTTTTTTTATAGATACAAGTATTTAAGTAAATGCTCTGTTTATAATAAACAGTATTAAATAACATGAGCAGTTATGAATGTACGAGATTCATAGAAGATTGAAGTTTATAAGCAGTAAATTCAACCTTGCCAACCGAACGATCCTTTGTGGCCGAGCGGTCAAGGCACGTCAGCGTAAATGACGGTTCCGTATAGGATGCAGGTTCGAATCAAAGGACGAATATTTTCTATGAAAATTTCTTGGACATTCAGGCCGGTAAATGTTATTTAATACTGTTTATTATAAACAGAGCATTTACTTAAATACTTGTATCTATAAAAAAGAACGTTAAACATAAAAATGTCTTTAATAAATAAATTATCGGACTTTGTCCATTTCTTAATATATGACGTCATTTGATACGCCATGAGCAGTTATGAATATACGAGATTCATGAAATTCAGTATATATATACTGAACAATCCTTGAAAATAAACTACGAATAAATAGTAACATTTGAAAGTACTCGTGAATATATATATATATATATTTAGGCAGCAATCTTTCGTTTATGCATGTTTCATTAAAAACGACAGACAAGGTACTACGGTTAAACTTTTTATTTAATTTCTCTTGTGTTCGAACATGAGCTTTGGTTTTTTTCTTTTTTATTATTTTAAGATTAAAAATAATGAAAGCTTTAATAATAAAAAAGAAAAAAATAACTCTTAACAATATTAACTACGAACAAGGCCACAGTTTGCTAACCGTATTCGGAAATTAAAGCATCACTACTACACACTAAGACATACACAGAATGCACACACTGAATTAAGTTGAAAAATCGAATAATCCTTGATAATGGCTAAAGTTATAGCCGAAAGTGCTCGTAAATATAAAACATTTGGACAGTTCTTACACACCCTTTGCCCAGAAAACAAAACATTTTTCGAACATAAGAAAAATTAAATAAAAAGCTTAACCGTAGTACCATATATATATATATATATATATATATATATATATATATGTATGGTATAAAATGACAACTGGAAAAAAATCTTACATTTTGCCGAGGCGTTTCGTCTTCCGACTTTTTCATCATAGCAAAAATGAAATCGAAATGTTTTTGTTGTTATAGTTACATTAAAAAAATCCAAATTTAAAATGATAGACGCTTCTGTCTAAGCCTTTTTTCTGGTTAATGTAAATTACCTTTATAGTAACGGATTTTTTTCCATGGCGACAATATATATATATTCCCGGATCAATTCTGTGGACAAGACAGATTTTTTTTCCAATTGTCATTTTATACCAATCTGCCTTGTCCACAGAATTGATCTGAGAATTAAACTATATATATATATATATATATATATATATATATATATATATATATATATATATATGTGTGTGAATATATTTTTATATGTGTGTACATGGGTATATATATGTGTGTATGTGGGTACACGCCTATGTGTATATACGTGTATATGTTATTGTGTATGTGTGTATTCGCATGTGTTTTTGAACATAAAAATATAGGTCCTTGCTGGATTAGATAATCGTTATATTTATTTTTTATATGTTTATATTTGATTTGTAACCTGTAGTTGATATTAAATTTGTCAAATTTTCTCAATTACAAAGCGGCCCTTTAAGTAAACGCAATTTCACTTTCCTTCGCCCCATCTCTCTCTCCCACCTCGTCTTTCCCTCCCTCTTATTCTAACATTAAATTGTCTATGGTGTGTGTATGTCACCACGAAATGTATCTTTATACATCCGACAACATTCATTTTTCTCTTACTTAAACCCCTTCCACCCACCTCTCCTAAAATTCTCTCTGTTAAGGTTTAATCTCCCTCCCCCTCATACTTACACTCTCTCTAAATTCTGTTTTTATTTCCGGAGTTGGTTTTTTTTTCTGTTTTCCTTTTGAATTTGTAGGTCTGATGAATTGGATCGTATTTACGATTCCAATGGAATAAATTATGACTATGGAATATTAGTGTTTAAGCCTTTATATATATATATATATATATATATATATATATATATATATATATATATATATATATACTAAATAGCAGGATAAACTGAGTTCTATAGCCTTGGATGGCATCTGGTGTAGGAGAAGGACAACTCTGAATTGAAAACCTACGGAGGGTCGTTTGGAGACCTTGTGGCATGTAATCCACCAAGTCTGTGTGTTCGGCCCTTCAAAAAATGTGGATGCTTTTGCACAAACCCTTCCCAAATATAATCAAATCATATGTACTGGTGTCTGGTTGTCGGTTCCCAGGAACTTAGCCTCTTGACCCTCATACTCTTCTCTTTTCAAAATAAGAGTTAAGCAAAGAAGACTGTTCGATAGTTTTGAATGGTGACCAGTCTAGATTGATTAACTTGTTTTTTTATTGTCCACCTTTTGCAGGTTATTTAAATCCAGAAAATATGTTTATGTTGAAAAATGTTAAAGGAGATAATAATGATTTACGGATATAAGTTTTATTAATTAACCCATAGCAGACGGGAGAAGAGGTGGATTCCTGAGGTTATTTGCGCATACGGAAATATAATGAACCCAATTGGAAATTCCAAATTTCCAATTCCGAGCAGATACACTACACATACATCCACGCTTACTGTACATGATACTCAAGATCGGTGACTCATCTAATTACTGACCAGGCTCGACGTTTGCTTAACTTCGGTGATCCTACGAGAATCGGCGTTTCAACTTGATAAGGCCGTAAGTACATTACATCACAGGCATATCCTAGCTTACAGCACCTGGTATTCTCAAACGGTCACCCATCTAGTTACTGACCAGGCTAGACGTTTGCTTAACTTCGGTGATCCTACGAGAATCGGCATTTCAAATGGATATGGTCGTAAGCATATTACACCACGCGCACATCCAAACGTACAGAACCTGGTATTCTCAAACGGTCACCCATCTAGTTACTGACCAGGCTAGAAGTTTGCTTAACTTCGGTGATTGTATGAGTATCGGTGTTTCAACTTGATATGGCCGTAAATACATTACATCACAGGCATATCCTAGCTTACATCACCTGGTATTCCCAAGAGGTCACCCGTCTCGTTACTGACCAGCCTCGACGTTTGCTTAACTTTGGTGATCGTATGAAAATCGGTGTTTCAACTTGATATGGCCGTAGGTATATTGCATCACAGGCATATCCTAGCTTACAGAACCTGGTATTCTCAAACGGCCACCCATCTAGTTACTGACCAGGCTAGACGTTTGCTTAACTTCGATGATTGTATGAGTATCGGTGTTTCAACTTGATATGGCCGTAAGTACATTGCATCAAAGGCACATCCTAGCTCACGGGACCTAGTATCCCCAAGAGGTCACCCGTCTAGTTACTGACCAGCCTCGACGTTTGCTTAACTTTAGTGATCGTATGAAAATCGGTGTTTTAATTTGATATGGCCGTAAGCACATTACACAACAAGCAAATCACACCTTACAGCACCTCGTATTCCCTAGCAGACACCCATCGAGCTACTGACCAGGCTCGACGTTTGCTTAACTTTGGTGATCGTATGAGGACGGGTGTTTCAGCCTGCTTGCTAATACGGATTTCACGTTGATGTTTCTAGAGTAACGATGTCAAAAGAAAAGACTAAACCAAAAACAAAAAGTTACTAACAAAAGTCATACATATCGGAGATCAAGTAATTTAGTAGAAAGTATTTATTTCGTCTTACTTCATCTTACTTACATTAATGGTCGGAAGATATTCCAGCAAAGAACAACGCGAGAAATAAACCAACAACGAGAAAAACTAGTAAAAAAAAAACAACAAAAAGCAAACATTTTTTTTTCTAATTCTTGGAGTCTGTTTGCTTTCTCTAAAAGCCTGAAACGAAGTACAAAAAAGATTTATCATCTCTCCAATTACTGAAATGTAGACTCCATGTTTGCTTGTAGCCGCTCGTTTATCGGGCAGAGCACTCATTGTTGCCTTCATCTCCTGAGCGTAATCGGCAAGAATCATTCCACTCGAGTTCCTGTCTATGTTACACCGATATTTAAATAAGAATTATATATATATATATATATATATATACAAATATATATATATATGTTACAATGAATCGTTCATACAAAAAGTAAATTAGTAAAGTTAATGATATAAAATGGCGAAATCCATTCGCTAACTAAATTTTAAAGTTGCCTTAACCTACCAATCAGTCAATCAATGTTATTATGCTTGTTTTTTTTAAATTGTAAACTGTATTAGGTATTCCTTAAATACGCAAGTACTTTCGACTGTACATTCTGTCATCTTCAGGCATGGAAATCATTTTGTTTTTGGTAAAATTCAGGTAGCATCCGAGATGAAACAATATAATGCGAATCGAAATATTTTTTTTTTTTAAATGTGTTATTGTTAACGGATACAAACTTTTGGAGCGTGTAGTCGTAACGCTAAGATTGAATTTTTTTGAAAATTTAAGAGATTGCGTTTTTTACTAATATGGCAATTTGAGAATTTTTTTTCTGTTGTAGTCAATGTAGCATGAACTAAATAGTTCAATAAATAGAGTAATGTCTCAGTTGTTATCCCGAAAACTTGCACGTCCGATCAGTTCTTTTTAAATCAAATATGTGGTGCAGTTCAATTTATATTACAATGAAACATTCCTACAAAAAGTAGATTAGTAAAGTTAATGATATAAAATGGCGAAATCCTTTCGCAAACAAAATTTTAAAGTTGCATTAACCCACAAATCACTCAATGAATGTTATAATCCTTGTTTTTAATAACTACAAGCTGTATAAGGTCTTTTTTAAATCTGCAAGTAATTTCAACTGTACATTCAGTCATCCTCAGGCATGGAAATTATTTTATTTTATTTTATGTATGTATGTATATATATATATATATATATATATATTGGTCTTTTTCTTCAAGCTTCATTGTCTTTCAGGAACATGAAATATTATTGCTTTCCACCGCTTCCTCTGTCTTAATATCTTTAAACCGTGTTTTGTTTTCCACTAGAATTTCATTTAATACAAGGCTCGATAGCCAGGCAAGGTAGAGTATTACAGTCAAAATAGTACCCATGAATGAGATTTTTTAAATAATAGTTTCAGATTATTATTTTTCAGTGTCAGTGTATTTGGGTTCAAACCTCCTGAGGTTGACCTTTAAGGTTAAATGGTAAACAAAATAGGGATGTCGATTTTGATTGGCTGAGCTGGACGTGGGGATGTTAGAAAAATAGAAAGTGATTTCAAGGAGTTAAGTTTTACACGTCGAAAAATGCAGACGTGTTAATTTCATGTGTGGAAACCGTTCCCCAGTGGGGTGGGATAGCAACCCCATTGGCTAGTTAGAATATGTACATGTCGACGTAAGTAGTAAGTCAAAATTCCTTTTGTTGAAGTTCTCATTTTACCTACAAACAAACGGACTCGTGATCAACCGACCGGAAGATGACAGAGAACAATGCAACAGATGAGTGAAAGAAGACCGTCGCTCCAAGACTATCCCAAACTCGAAAGTGGGTATAGGACTATTTGAGAAAGAGAAGAGGTAGGAAGTGAAGTTGTTTAGGCTAAGAGTGAAAGATGATGATCAGCGCAGGTTTATTTTTTTTGGAACCGTGGTATTGCAGTCAATTTGAAAGTTCGGGTTTTACGTGATAAACAAAGACATAAAATATGTTTTTCCAAATCGTTATTGTTTTTTGATGAAACGACTTTAATAATTCAAAATCCTTGCGTTGAAATTTGGGTGATTAATTAAAGCTCTGTTTCTTTTCTTTTTATCTGCCATGCCCTTTCAGGGCGTAGGTGATCATGGCTCTCAACCTGCCTCTATCCGTTGCCGCTCTCAACAAATGCCTTCCCTCTGCTTCCTCCACCAGGCCCCGATCTGTCATCCACCTGCTCAAGCCCTCCAGGTTTGTCACGCGCTGTTTTCTCTTGTCTCTCTTTCCCTCTATTCAACCCGTGAGTATCAGATTCTCCAGGCCCTCCTTCCTCCTAATGTGTACCAGAAACTTCAGCTGCCTCTTTCTGAATAATTTACTGAAGCTTTACAAATTTTATATGGACAAGATGTATGGTACAAGGACACTATCACTAAATCATTGTGCCATCAAATAAGACCTTCATTTACTTCAAAGGGAAAGATGTACGTTGTTGGGTAATGGATATCGGTTTGAAATGGAAACACGGGAGAGCCGAGTTCGAATTACATTCGATTTCGTTAGATTGGCTTACGCACAAATACCCTTGGGAAAGGTATAATTCTATCTCCCTTTCCCCCAACTATGGATTAAATAGTAGGACAGACTTGGTTCTTTAGCAGAAAGAAATGGCTAGCTACTGCGGGATAAATCTGCTTCGTTAGTCGTGTATCGAAAGATTAATGATCGCCCAAGCGTGTGGAACTTAACTGTCTGACTGATGTTATACAGTGTGATTTTCAATAAACTGCAAATTAAAAAAAGAAGAAGAAATTTGTTATTTGTGCCCAGCAGTATTATGGTGTTATATACACATTTATTTATTTTTTGTTTTCATTAATTATGATCAAACAAATGATCTAACAAATCTTATTTGTTGAGTTACCTTTTTTTTGCAATATTTTTTTAAAAAAAAGTTCCACAGTTTTTACTTATCGAATACAGTAAAAAAATTGCATATTTTGCTTCTAATGATTTATTATTAGGATTCTGGCTTGGATATATTTTCTATTTAATGTATCTAATGCAAAATATATTTGGATCTATTCTTGAAATAGTAAAACTTTGAAGTCAGTCTGTAAGCAAAAACTTGTGAAAATTACGTATTTTTGTACATTTTTCCGGTAATCTTTACAACTAAATGCTAAAAAAAAAAATGATAAAAGCTGTGAATCTACATTTTGATGTCAGGATTCCTCACATCAAGTCCCAACTTTCACTTCAAGTGCAATGTTAATTATTTTAAAATAAGTAAAGAATCAACTTCCCCTAACATGTATGACAAACAACAGTCCCCAATAACTCTTAAAGTCAGGGAATGATTTTACACTGTCTCAATATTAGGAACAGGACCCTCACTTCTAAATCTGATCAATATTTTTGGATTCTGAAGTGTTGTGTCCTAAAGAATGCTAATCTAAAAAGATTATTTCAAAAACATTTTTACCTATTTTTTTAATGAGTGAACCAATCTATTTAAGAAGTGCCAAACAGCCTTCTTATCTAAAATCTAGATCCTTCCCAGCATCCATTGTTTCTATATGTTTCGCCCACAGTTAGGAAAGGTCAATGTTTCTTTCCCATTGTTGAATTTGGAAAGTTAGAAAACAATGTCACTGAAGGTTACCTCGATTGAAAGACTCTTGAAGAAGGCCAGAGACTATCGAAACGTTTCGATAACAACATAGATGAAGCCAATACTTAAAATATGAATAACTCTTCATCCTAAAAAAACTCGAGTACAATGTTAATTTTCTAAAATAAGTGAAAAATCAAGCTGCTCTAATTATAATTGACTGTTGATTTAAAGAGGTCAAAATTGAAGATCCCAAGGAAATACCCACACTGGTGTCTGGTCTGCAAAGGGACAATTCTTGAGAAAAAATAATTTGTCTGAGGAGAACCTCTGATATTTGGAACACGTTTGAAATAATGGTGATACGACACCCTGGAAGTGCTATGAAATGTTCTCGATATAAATGTCTGAACTGATGGAACTAAAAAAGAAAATGGCGGATGGAAAGCAAGAAGTACAATGAGGCTGCAACTTTGCATCTTTCTGGAACAGACATCGGAGTTAGTCAGTCAGGTTTCCTATAGCATTTAGAATTTTCGCAAAAGGGGCTTGCTAGTCCCATGCCAGAACGTTTTTGAATTCAGACTTGTCCTTCTATTAAATTGATTGATACAAATATTAGCTAATATTTAATCCATCGCACAAGGGGCGAGAAAAAGATGTGATAGATAAAAATAATTACCACAATTTTACTGAGAAATGCTTACGTCTATACAAATAACATATCAACTGATTCACTTATGTAGAGTTACATATGCACCCCCAGCCATCCATCCATATATATATATATATATATATATATATATATATATATATATATATATATATATATATATGTGTGTGTGTGTGTGTGTGAAATGTATATATATATATATATATATATATATATATATATATATATAAAGAAAAAAATTTTGAAAAAACAAACAAAAATCCTTAAATGTAGTTAAAATGAAAGAAATGTCGACGTCTGACGTTTCGGTTTAATAAACCTTTTTCAAGACAATATTCATTAAAATACAATTCAGTTCAATTTAACAAAGACGATGGACATAAAACACAAGTCTTATTCAAAACAGATAACTGAAAATTTTAAAATGATCAGCCTTCCGTCTAACATGGTCACGCCGTCGTCACATGGGCGACGCTTTCATAACGTATTCCTAAAAGTTTGTGATTATTTTGAAATGAAAAAAAAAATGAAAAAGAATTCTATTAGGTTCTAAAATTCTTATGTGTATGCTTGTCGAGCATCAATCTCGCTAAAAAAGGGGAAATATTAAA